CTTATAGCGTGCACCTGTCGGGGTTCGCTTTTCAAACTTATCACGAGCTTTGATAAGTTTGTCGTTCCAAGCGTCACGACCTACATCCTCGAGATTATGGATGTAAGCGTTACACGCCTGAAGTAGTGAGGGACCATCACGTTTGTGATTCCCACTGTACCATCGATGTCTGAAGAAAGCATCGATGAAGAACTCATGTTCAGCGCGATAGTCTTTCGCGCTGGGGTCAAGGTGATGGATCCTTGACGAATCGAACAATCGTGTTCGATAACGATCACTCGTCGTCGCCGACAAGTGATCCATGACAGATTTAGGAGGCATCCATGCCTTCTTTTCTGGAGCGAGACGCAACACATTGCGGTCCCGCTCTTCCTGCGACGTGCCGACAGAAGTACTGGCACCTCGCTGTGAAGTGGTGTCCATTGGAGAAACGACACCACTATTAGCGCCCGAGTCTCGCGACCTCGAGCGCCTTCGCTTCGGCGATGGTTCATCTGACTCATCAGATGAACCAAAGATGCTGCGACGCAAAGCATCGTCCATGCCACGCTTGGCAGGCGGCTTGGATTCAATTGCCGTCGATACGGATCCGTCATCCGTATCAGGAGAGTACGAGACACCGAGCTCGTACTCTGTGAAGACACGAGTGTCTTCATGACCAGCGCCTGCATCACCAGGTGATCCAGGCTGAGTCGATTCAGCAACCGATGGGACATCAGTTGCTGTAGTTTCTGCTTCGGCGTCCGCACAGAGACGTGCAGACGCGCTCTCGGCGGCCTTGCTCGCGCATCGCATGGGCTTGTTTACCATGCGATGAAACTGTTGGAATGTAGACTCGGACCAACAAGTGCAAACCCTGTCCCAAATGATTTGGGACGAGTATCCATTTTGTCAATCAGTCACTAAAGTGACTGATGGTTAAGGGGGGGGGTGATGTAACGGGGTGAATCGTTACATAACAATTTATAAGAAATTGTTAATAGAATATAACTATAAGAGTTATATTCTCAGAATATTGTCATAAGGACAATATTCTGTAGCACTTCCAAGTAGTTCCTAATTGGTTGATATAGGCCATTATATCAACCAACGAAGACGCGCCACGACAGACGCACGCAATGAGTGGTGAGCAGATAGTTGATATGCACATTTGTATGTAGACATAGTTAGATTAAGATAAATAGTGATTTATTAACCGACATTAACTATTATAAATACAGTTCTACTTTTTACTCTAACCAAGTACTCGCTTCTTCTTACCGTCTTCCTCTGCACGTACGAGTGTACGTGAAGTTACGAGGCACCGCCTTATTCTGTTATCAGAATAAGTAGCTTGTACTGTCACCAGTACAAGCTTCAGGGTGCCCCGTTACATTGGCAGTCCGTATCGATGGACTTCGTCTTTGGGAAACCCAAAAACGCTCACAAGAATACTGGTATTCTTGTGTTTGTTCATCGTTTCATCAAGATGTTACATCTTGTTGCTGTACCGGAGTCAATCACAGCCCAGGGCTGTGCTCGTGTCTTCACCGATATCATCTTCCGACTTCACGAGTTACCCCGTGAACTCGTGTCTGATAGGGTCCCCCGCTTCACAGCGGGTTTCTGGCAATTTGTGTTCCGTTCACTTGGAAGACGTTTGGAAGATGTCAACTTCTGACCATCCTGAAACAGATGGTCGAACGAAACGCGTTAACCGCGTTCTCGAAGAGATACTTCAAGGGTACGTCCACTCGTTTACGAGCTGAAGTGAGTTCTTGCCGATGGCTGAATTCGCCATCAACAACTCGGTGCATGCGTCAACAACGCACACACCGTTCTTCGTGAATGACCTACGCCATCCACGTCTTAAAATGTTAATTTTGTTTAAGGGGGTGGACTCGCTCGAACAAAACCAGATCTGATTCTTGTTCATCTTACGTCGACAATGGTGTCGACATGATGGATGCCGATCCTGGTACCATCGACATTGATGATGATAATGACGACGATACTCATATATATTTAGCATCTCTAACGACAGCCACAGTGATCACGTCGACATCGATGTTGATGATGACGACGACGACGCTGGTATGTTCTGCATCGCCAACGACTGCCACAGGGAGGACGATGACGCCCTCACTGGTGAAGAAATCTTTTATACTATAGCAGTGCAAAAGAAGCGCACTACTATGAACAAGGATGGATCAGCAGAGGAATATCTGCTGACTCTCGAAGCAAATGTCTGCTTCATTCAAGACTCAATGGTATATGGAATAGACAAGCAGACAAATAACGCAGACAAACATAGAAGACAAATGTTCTTTTATTTAATGAAGAAGACTTAGTTTTACTGTCAACAGTAAATCTACCAAAATACGAACTGATAAACGCGGGCAGCAGTAAATAACTGCTTCAGTACATTGGTCAATTTTGTGTGTTGCGCCGAATGGGCATCGCATGCACGATTGAACAACCCCGTAAGATGCGTACGCATCCTACATATGACTTTGGACGTCTCCGCCAGTACTATCTGTACGAGCCCGTTTTAAAGATGCGAAGAACACCTTCGCGGTCGAAGGCCGAGACAACCTTCGAGTGGTCTTGTTTGAACGAGCCATTCTGGTAGACTAGAGAAGCGACCTGATCACGTAGATGAGCTATGTCCTGACGAGCCGCGTCAGCTCATCACGAAGAAAAAGAACCAAACGTTCGTTCTCAAGTTGCGCAAACGAAAACGCGGCACAATTGTCTGAACGATCGTGCACCAAGGAATTGTAATTATACTTTACAATATCATGGAAGCTCATAACGCCGAGTCCGTTCATGAGTCAGGTCATATTGCAACAGTTCCGTTACATAGTTCAGCCTATGAACATCAAGCTGATTCGTCCCTCTAGCTAGATCAGGTGTTCCCGCCGCCACCACATTCTTTGGTGGACCATGGCGGTGGTCAACGCTTTCTAGTGGAGCGTATTTTGAACTACCGCAACGTCAAAGGCGTCCGGACGAGTTACCTCGTCCGCTGGCGGGCTATCCACCGGCGTGGGACATCTAGAAGCCTCGCGCCCAGATGATTGTTGATGTTCTGGATCTCGTCGACCAATATGACGAGACCCACCCGCTGCGTTCGAAGAATGGCCGTAGGAAAACGACTTCCCCAAACGCGAGTACAGAGATTGCAAAGTGTTAATCCCTTCGGACACCTCAGAAGAAATGCACGCCCTCCAGTAGGTACATTAGGGAGTTAGGCCTCCCTAGGGACACGACTAGAATTGTCCAGGCCACCTGTATATGTATCACCCCACAAGAGACAAAGTAAACCTGCCTCTCTTGACATTCGGTGCAACTTGCATCACATACCGGCTGAAGTACGCTTTCAAACCTGATGCGGGCTGCATTAAGTTTACCGAGCTAGGCCTCACGGTCAATGCACTCGATGTTATAGAGGAAGTTAATCCTATCTGCACCAAGGTCTTACCGTCTCAACCAAGGGTACCGTTATGCCACCACTGTTTGAAAGTTCTTCACATCGGTGAAGAACTCATCTTCAGCACGGATAGTTTCCGTGCAGGATTTAGGAGGACAGATCCTCCTACAGTCGACAATGGGATTCGATCCATTTCGGTGGTCGTGCCAGCCACTCAGTTTAACCCCTCGAATGACGGCATCTGAGGAGACTCCACTTAAGAAGCATGGCGCAGGACATTGCGGTCATCGGTCTTTTGTGTGGTATCAACATGAGCACTGACACCAGTAGCACCTCTATCCCTCGAGTTGCTTCTCACGTGGTGACGCATAGGTGCGTCTCCACCATCACCACGCACCTTATTGTCGGATAAACTTGCGCGGGACGAGATTCGTCAGATGAATCGTTCGGTCCGAAGATCTTGGACATGATTGCGCCATTTTTTCCATACCCAGTCAACCCTACTCTCTCAGTGTCCGCTTCGGATGATCCGGAGGCAAGAGGCGCTGCCTATAAGTCGGATACATCATCCAGCTCGCCAGGAGTGATGAGCTCTATTTCAGGCTCATCCACATTGCAAGTTGTATCACCCGCTGCAAGCGCAGACGATGAATCTGCCGCACGTCGTTACTCACTATGTGGACTAGACGCAACAGGAACTGCTTGTTGCTCACTTGTAACAGCATGTGTAATGGAGGTAAGGGACCGTTACCGTCTTACACTAATATTAAAGCTACTGAAGCGCTCTGATTTATGAGGTAAATTTAACTCTATTTTTTTGTGTTTTTATAATTCGAAGTAGTGCGAATATGGCCCCTAGCTCATGGGAACCACTCAAATATAGAACTATTCATTATTGGCTAATTATTGGGTCTGGCACCTCATTAATAAACCTATAATAAATAGACGCGCAGTATCCGCTATCAGGATACTGCCTACGCTTAACATATGTATTAATGTATGACTACTTATTATAATGGGTTGCCCCATTACATCACCCCCCCTCTTTATGTTGCGCTTACCGTGACGTAAGCGCCAAACACTGAAATAATCTTCTCAATGAATAGTCCAACGAAAAGCCCACGAGAACTCCAATGGTATGTCATGTGGACTTCGAATCTGGTCCGTTACGAACAACTGAGCAGCATGAACCATGAACACCCACGCAACTCGACCCCAAATGACAATTGGGGTCATCAGAAACTTCAAAAAGAGTATGCACCGCAGATCATGGACGACGACTTGAAGCCGTGGGGCTTGTACAGCCTCGAAGGTGATCCACAACATGAATCACTTGATTCGATGAAGAACCTCTTCACACGATACCGTACCGTTCGAGGCAAAGGAACGAATCACGCATACACTGAAGACGCACTGCAACGATCTTGGTGTGATTTCATCAGACGCTGGAACGAAAGTCGACGTAAGGGAACATCCTTCGCATCGTAGGTCGAGGGACGCGAAAACACTCATGGCGTCCACTCTATTGACGACTTATGCCGGCGCATATGTCGTCTGACCTGTGATAATTTCCGCATGTGTTACGTCCATGTTTTTGAAGGGTGCCAACCGTGTTACGGGGAGAGGCCGCGCCAACGCGGTAGGAGAGGGACGAAATGGTGTGTACACGGAAAAACGCCCCGGCACATCCGACCATGGATCGGCCGCTGTGAGAGGAGTCTCTCATAGCTCCAAGTATATGCGTTGCGTCACATGAGAGAGAGCCATGTCGATCAGTGGAGGTGTTCGCGTTGCCGATATAGATTGTCTTACGACCACCGTGGTAGTTCTCGTCGTCGCTCTCGATCGTCAAGGTTTTCAAATGCTCCCGAGCCTCGAAGAAGACGTCGGTGTTGCTCGGAGGATCGTCGTCGATCGCCGATTTACGAGCGTCACGGTTCGCGGTATTGTGGAGTAGTCAACGACATAAGTCGCGTCCGCCGACCTATTACTGGTCTTGTACTCCTCAACGACGTCAGGAACATCGCGATCCAACATACTTCGAGGCTCCCACGTGTCTTTCGTTTGTGAAGAATTCAAATGTCGGACCTTATAATGCGTTTCGGAACTACACTTCGATGGCGCCGAGTCAAAACCGGCCCAAAATGCGTGGGGTCTCCATGACCGACGATACGGACCACAATCCAGCGTCTCTGACCCGATGCATCAACCAGGGTAGGGGGAGCATTACGACGAAAGGCCTCTTGGGTTGGGTGCCGATTCTCATAGTCAGGCGCCTGTGCCGTCGAGTGACGAGCTTCATTTTCTTCGTAATGACACCAAATAGGCGAAGTAAGGCCAACCGGATGCCCTTGAGATGGCCGAGAGGGCTCGCGTTTTTGCAGCTGCTGCGACAGAAGCGGCTGAGAGGACTCGACGGGAGCAGCAGGGCTTGGTGGAGCGTCTACGACAGCTTGAGACTGCTGCGGTTGGTGGACCCTAGCAGAACAAGTCTGCACGCGCTCGTTTAAGACTTGGTCCCAGTCATTGTCAGCGTCGTCTAAAGGGGATATCGGAATCTGAGCCGATACAGAAGAGCGAGGAAGGTCCGAAGGGAGATCCGCCGACAGGTAAGCCTTAAGGCGCCCACCATAGATCATCGGGTGCAAACGCATAGTAGTAGGTATGTCTAGCGTGCGTCTCCATTAACCCTAACAACCCGGAAGGAACCATATATCGTGGCGCTATTTAATTAGCACCCAAGTCGTCACCGATGTGTCTGGTACTCCACTGGTCGACAACAAGACTCTGTCACCTTCTTTAAACGTCAATTTTTTTTCGACCTCTCCCGTCAGCGTTCTCTTTTTGTTTATCCACGGCTTGTTAAAGGGCATCACGATCAAAACGCGTGATTCCTGCCATAATTATAGGAATCTGGTCGCAGCAGCCGAACTTATGGGGGAAGTGGACTCTTTAGGAGCAAATTTAGCGACGGGAGATGCGGTGGTAAGCATCGCGTCGGTACTCGATATGCCATTGGCCACGAAATTAATAGCATGAGTTGCATCGGCAGCAACCTTAACTTCAACATAATCAATCATCACATTTTTTCGCGTCGTGTCATAGGCAGATACTCCCCCTCCAAGCTTAGAACCCGGGTGTTTTGAAGCTAAAGGAGCAAGAAGCGCTGGAACGCGAGGGTGCCTCGCATTGTTCACGAATATTGGCGTCAACCCTGTTGACGCATGAACTGCATTATTGAATGCAAATTCAGCGAGTGAGAGAAACGAACTTCACGAACTGAACGATGTCGCATGACTGCAAAGGACATCTTCAGATACTTTGTTCACGCGCTCCGTTCGCCCATCCGTCTCTGGATGGGCTGCCGTTGACATAAGCAGTTGCGTTCCTAATAGTTGAAACAAATCTGCCGAAAAACCGACGTGAAACGCGGATCACGGTCCGAAACAATGGATTTTTTTGGCAGGCTGTGATGCCGAAATATAAGATCGATAAAGATCTGCGCAGTCGTCTCCGCCGTAACGTGCGCGGAGACTGGAGCAAAATGTATTATTACACTGCTTCGATGGACAAGAACCCGTACGCCCGTGTGTTTCTGTTCATCCGGTGGGAGACCAAAAAGGAAATCCATGCTAACGGAACGTCAGGCTTCTTTGATGATCGGAAGCGGTCGTAATGGGGCTTGTTTAGACGGCTTAGATTTCACGCGCTGGGATTTTTCAAAAAAGCGTACTATTTTCTGGATTTATTTGTACATACGCGGCCAGAAAACACACGTGAAATGGTCGCGAACGTCTTCTCGCGACCCGAATGAACACCAGCTGGAGTGTCATGAAATATTTAAGCAATCGTGCGTGGAGGTCGTCATCACCAGGGATGACGAGGCGCGGTGGGTCAAAGATGTCCGTTGGATAAGTCGGCAGTGGACCATCAAGCGCGTAAAGTTTGATGATATCACGCGTAAATTCGTCAACTTCGCGAGTGAACCCTCATTAAACTATCGAAGATAATTAATTATTCCTGTGTAGAATGAATCATTCGCATATGACTCAGCGATTGAAAGCACAGGTGTCAAAATCATTGCATTGAGCCACTGCTCAGCACAGCATAAACAAATGTTGTCGTCCTCGTCATCAGTACTTCCTGGCTGATGGCCCATGTCACGTCGAGGATCATAACCGGGATGTTAAGAAAGCTCGTCAGCGAGAATTTTCTTTTGCCGGGCTAATTAAAGACCACGAAATAATACTTCGAGAAGTATGACAATAAACGTGCCATACGCTGGGACAAGTGGGGAGTCTTGACGGCGGTACGCAATGATGCGTGATCTGTATAGACCGAAAACATCTTCTCGCCGAGCAAATATACTCTGAACTTGATCAGCGCGTAACGCATAGCCAAAAGCTCCTTGTCGTGTACCGACAGATTTCTTTCTGTAGGTTTCATCTGCCGTGACTGAAAGCTTATGACGCGCTCTCGGCCATCATCGTGTAACTGCATGAGGGCACATCCGATTGCAAAATTACTCGCATCACAGACGACGTGAAATGGCTTAAAATTATCAGAAAACATTAGCACTGGTGCCCCAGACAAGCTCTTTTTCACGATTCGAATGCAGACTGCTGTTCTGCTTTCCATTACCAAACTGCGTCTTTCTTCAGAAGAGTCGATAGTGGCTGAATAAGCTCTGCATAGTTCTTCGTATACTTGTGCTAGTAAATGGCCAAGCCAAGCCATTGGCTTAGTTCCGTTTGGTTCCTGGGCCAGGCCAATAACATATCGATGACACTTTCCCGGGATCAGCACGGACACCCTCCTTGCTAACATAGCATACAAGAACTGGAAACTCGGGAGCACAGAAGACACACTTCTTTGACTATGCGTACAATTTTTTCTCGCGCATAACTTGAAACACCTGTTTCAAATGCCGAAGGTGAACCTCCGTAGCGCTGAGTTGCTGCTCAGCGCGGCTGTGGACAAATATATCGTCGAAACAACTTGGCGCGAAATCGCGTAGTGGACTAAGCACTTGTGTCACTATCCATTTGAACGTTGCTGGAGCGTTCTTTAGGCCATGTGGCATGACTAGCCACTTCCAAAGCATCCCACTTGGGATGCTGACAGCGGTAAAACGAATATCTATGTTACTCATTAGAATCTGATAAATGTTCTTCTGTCAGGTCTATGGCACTGAAAATCTCGCTGTCGGACATGGTATCAATACCATTTTTTGCGTGAAATATGCGTTTGAGCTGATATTGTGGCGTCATTCAATTTGTTGAAAGCATGCACAACGCGCCAGCCGCCGGTGGCTTTCTTTACAGAAGTCGGGCTCGAATGTGGCAAGATGCTTTCATGTCCTGCCTTACGGCGGCCCTGAAAAATTCATCTATTGCGATGACTTGGTCACGTGGCAGCGGCCACTGCCGCGTCACGCAAAACTTCGATCCTGGCACGAGATCGATATCGTGTCGCACTCCACGATCTGCTGAGAGCTCAGCGGGGATTTTCTCTTAAAAGATGTCGACGTACTCACGCGCGATATCGTTAACAGGCTTGCCCGAATCACGAAGGGCTTTCCAACACTGTGCCGCAAAACGTTCTAAGCGCGCTGATTTGGGCTCAACGCTCGTTGGGCAAGCCTCCAGAACTTCTTTAATAGATGCTTTGGCGGCTTAAAGGATGCACAATTGCTCGATGTCGCCGTCCTTGAGGTCGTGAAGGAAATCTTTTCATGGTAGGGCTGATCGAGATGTGATCTCTGGAAGAGTGCACGGAGGGCTCGCTACCTCAACGGAGAGGCCGCGATGTGAAGACCCTTCCACGTATCCAAGCGCACATACGGATTCCGTCACTACAGAATATTCTTCGATGGCGCTTAAGCGAGGGTTTCGTCGTCTTGGCGATCGGCGTGCACCTCTCTTGCGCGTTGGCTTTCTTTTGCGAATCGAGCCACTTTTTGAGACTGGCACGTCGTTGTCGATGGGGATGAAGTACCCCCCCCTCTAGATGTGGGAGCTCTGTCTCCACCACGTTTTTCACATCCAAATCCACAGTCCGTTCATTCTCGTCGATAAGAGGCGGGAGCTCGTCGTTGATCCCCTCAGATGTATGTAAGAGCCTCTGCTCGACCACCTCTGTAACAATCGGGAGCCTCTGCTCAACCGTTGTGTGTGTAGGCGAGAGCCTCTGCTCGACCGCCGCAGTATGGATTGGGAGCCCCTGGACGACCGATATCTGTATTTGCGGGAATCCCTGTTCAACCGCCTCGTGTTGTGGCTCTATCAGTGTGACTGAACATACGGGACACAGAGGGTCATCGCTCTCTCTGTACTGACTTCTAGTCGTGGCGAGTTCGTTCTCAACCCGGTCGTGAGGCCGATCAGATGGCGCAACTAGCGAACGGGTGAAAACTCTATAACCGCTCCATCGTTTGACGGACCGAGATAGCCAGTCTATCGTCGGCTGATACCGTGAAAGCCACGGTATCCCCAATATGCAATTGAATGTATAGTTATTATCGTACACCAGAAATTCTTCGTTGCTTATAAAGCCGTCAAACGTATACGGCAACACAACTATTTACGCGGGACACGTTGTGGTTGTCCATCAGCAAGTTTGAAAAGATGTCACCCGGACCTTATCGAACCGGAGTTTTAGACGAGAGAAGGGACAAACATGATGCTCGAAAGAAGTTGTTGGTTGCATTAGAATTAACAACGCTCGAAGTGGTCGTTTAACTCCAGCAACGATGAGACTGGTAATTATCAGTCTCGAATCGTCGCGCATAGTGGTGGCATTGAAGTGGGTATGTATCACTTTGGGGCTAGGAGCCCAATCTGCCACCTGAGTACTCGGGGCTCCATTGCTGCCAGTAGGGCACCCCGCGCCTAGTGAACCGCTCTTTTTTTTGCGGGGGTTCCGACGACACAGTATCTCCACGTAAGACAGTTGTGTTCATTGACACCTGCGCTGGTGCTCGGCAGACGGCCGCACGGTGGTCTGTCTTGCCGAACCGATAACACTTCATTGTGTTTTGACTTCGAATTTTGCGGCAAAATGGTATGCCGCGACCACGAGATATGTCAATAACGTCAATTTCCATCAGCTCTGGGCCAGACGTGCGCGGGCGTTGCGACGATGCCTGCAAGTATGACGACGCGACCGTGTAATCTTCACGATGTGCGAGGTCAAATGCCTCCTCGAATCTTTTCGGTTTAGCACGTGTGAGGCAATAGCAGGTCATGCCCTCTTGTATACCGAAGACAAAGACATGAACTTGTGAAGCCATGTCGATCGGCTACGTGGCGATACACGGAGCAAGATGTCGCGTCTTCTGCACATAATCACGCATCGACAGCTTACCCTGTCGAAGTGAAAAGAAGTTTGCACGCAAGCGTGACTCATTCTGAGGGGGGATCAAGCGCCAGTCGTAAGTTGCGTTGGATATCTCTTGGCGTGGTGAATGCCAAATCGTTTACAACGAGCTTCCCAAGAGACCATTCTTTGGCTTTACCATTAAGTCGATCCAGCAGTAACTTAACCTTAGCCGTCGGAGCTTCGATCAACCTTGACGCTATGGCGATATCAATATATTTAAAGCAGCGATTGAGGGGGAGACGATCTGGACCATCACCAG